GAATATAATAAAAAAGAAAGGGGGGAAAGAGCAACTTACCTGGTGCTGCAACTGAAGATGATAATGACAGTGAAGGGCCGACTTGATGCTATTTTCTCTTCCTCTGTTTTCCTCTTGGTGTCCCTCTAGTCCTCCTTTTCTCTGTCCTTTTTTTCCAAGCATACCTCTAGCAAACACAGTAACCAGTTAATTATTTTAGTAAGAAAGGAAGGAAACTTACCTAGGCGTATGGCTGCTGAAGGCGAAGTCGAGGGAGACTGGGAAGAAAAAAGGATTGAGGGGGGGGGGGCGGCTAGTATAGGGTTCGTCGCCCCCTTCTTTTTTATGTTTCTTTCTGTTAAGGTTTCTGGTAATGGCCTCCTCTTAAGGTTTTTTCTTTTAGGGTTTCTCTTTAATCGCCTTCCCTCCTTCTTTTCTTTATTTTGCTTTGTTTTTCTGGATTAATTCTCTGTTCTCGGGTTCATCCCTTTTTTTTCCCCCTGAGATCTGTATTTATAGTGTAGGAGTCCCATCACTTGCGAGGAGTAAAGTGTCAATCAAACTCATTCTCTTTTTTGAAGTTCGAATTAGAATCGAATTCGAAAGCAGACAACTATCATTATCTTGAAGAAGATAAGGATTATCTTGAAGGTAATGATTATCTTGAAAAAGATAGGGATTATCTTGAAAGTAAGGATTATCTTGAAGAAGATAATAATTATCTTGAAAAAGATAATGATTATCTTGAGGATAAGGCTAGAATGACAAAGACATATTGTAGTTCTTAATTTTCACGGAAGTTGACAAATCACATTTTTCATCGAAATAAATCTCTGATTTTTTAATTTTTCATTTTAAACCTTGTAAAAATTAAATTAAAAGCTAAAGGGCCAAAATTAGGTTATGACACATTTGATTCATAAAAATATTTTTAAGTTATTTGCATTATCGGACTCTATCATATCCTTATTTAATAATATCAAATTATCATCCAACGTCTCAAAATCACCCATGTTTACAAGCCATACTACATCATGTATTTTTATGGTTAATGAACATATTGTACAACACAAAACCGTTTGTATTATACATAGATATATTAACAAAATTATAAAGTAAAAATATCACCCATTCCAAAGTTGATAAAGGAGGGGATATCTAATACTGTTCCAGTCTTGCAAAATCATATCAATCCTCCATGTTTAATATTTTCCTCTTTTCTTTCCCCTCCAGATCATCAGTAATTAATATAATAAATTCTTTACTTATACAATCTTCAGCAGGCAAAAAATGTACAACTAAATCAATGTATTAAAAAAAAAATCTAATCAAATATGTAGAATCATCAAATTAACTTGCAAACCCAAATCAGATTTAATAAATATACATGAAACCATGCACACTACAAAAGTCATATCCAATAGTTAAAGAGGAGAAGGTTATCTACTATCTCTGTTCAAATTATTTATATTGTAATCTTAATGCTAGTTGAACCGACCACAATTCAATTAAAATTTGATTTGATTTTTAAAATAATATAAATTTGATAATCTGATTAAGTTAATTTATTTAATTTAAAATCCAAACCTTATATATCAGGTCAGGACTAATCCGGGTTTAATATTTTTTTTTTCAAGAGATTGATAATTACTTGATTAGTTTATCAAACTTATCATTAATAGACTCGCATAAATTGTGGATAAACTAAGGACGGACCTGACACATGTAAAGATTTTCTTTACTTGATTAGAGATTGACAACCAACGAAGCTCTGGAACTGACACACTGCGGACCTTAAATGGACTCAATCAAGTTCTAAAGTCATGTCTTCTTTCCACCTTCTGCCTTAATAAAGCACTGGACTCTTTTGCCTTAATAAAGCACCTGTCTTTATTGTTCTGGAACATTAAAAGTGGCTAGGTGAGCCTTGTAGATCTTTGTTTAGCCATTGCCTTGGTTAATTCATTAATTATTTCTCTTGTTTTGTTTAGGAATGTTTATAGTCATCAAATATCATAAAGAAAAAAATAAGAATGCATACATATATTCCTTTGTATAGATCTTGATATATGAGATGCTGATGCAATGATCTAAAACTTTGGTCTAAAATAAGACCAATGATATTTAATTTCAAGTTTGTTTTTTTCTTTTTTTTTTCCAGCAAAACCTTAAAACACATTTGGGAATTTTTTTTTCTTATAAAATACTTTGCAACAAGGTTCAATATGTAGTTTTTGTTTTTAATTGTTACAATTTCTTTAAGAAATTAAAGATTTATTACCATACAATTTTATTCTTGTAAATTACTATAATTCTTATTAAAGGTTTAAAGCTCCTCATTATCCTAAGGATCATTACTCTCTTTTTTTTAATTTTAAAAAGATACATTTAAAAATAAAAAGAATTATATTTTATATTCTACTATCATCATTTGATTTGAATATAATCAAGATTTGGATATATATATATATATATATTGAATTTGTTTTTTTATGAAAAGTAACAATGAATTGATAATTCGTTAGATAGAACAATTAAATATGAAAGTTTTAGAAGTTAAAATATAAAAGAAAACTTACTGATATTAAAATATTAGCTACAACCTGTATTGAATACAAATTAATTTTAAGAACATAATTAATTTTCATATTAATTTGATATATTCAAGAAAATTTGATATATTTTTTTATAGATAAAGTTTATATCTAAGAAATTGAAGAAAGTGAAGAACACATCATCACTTCTATAATGAATACCTTTCCAATAAAGAAAACAAATCAAGTTCATCGATCATTGTTAGAATATTAATTTGGTCATGATCAGAAGATCGCTGTGGTGTGGTCTAGGGAATACTAGTCTTTTCCTCTTTCATTAATGTATGGAGAGTACTTAGGTTTAAAAAAATTCAATTAAACATATAATTACCCATATTTAATTATCATATGGAAGATCGTTGTGGTGTGGTCTACATAATAAGCATATTTATTTCCCCATTAGCACATACTATACAAAATCATGAACAATATTATTCATCAGAACCAAAAGAAAGAAAAGGGAATAACAATAATAATAATATTAAAATAACCTTTTATTAATTCCTCATTATTCCACCTTATAATTGGCGTGGAGAGTTGTGCCAGTACAAGGAGCATGCGTGAAAGAGCCATCTTTAGTCTTTGGCTAAAAAAAACATGAAAAACGTGATTTTACACGTTAAATATTTGTGATCTAATGAGATTTTTTCAAGAAAACAAAGTTTGTATATTGATTTTTTTTCTTTTATTGCTGCAAAAAAAATTTATTTTATTTAGCGTGTATTTAGTCATACAGTGTAAGATATGTTTTAATTAAAAATATATTTTAAATAAAAAAATGATATAATATATCAAAACAATAGAAAAATACTTAAAAATTAATTTAAAAACATTAAAACCGAAAAAAAAAAACACTCGCTTCTTTTATAGTGGTGCTAGCAAGATTAGGGCTGGCACCAATAAAGGCAAGCATAGAGTATCCAGGCCAAACTTCTGAATTTGAACTCATTTTGAACATCTATAAAAGATGCCTAAAGGTTGAAAAATAGCACAAGGAAAAACAGGATTTACACTAGTTAACTAATTTTGGTGCTTGCTGTACATGCCTTGAGAATCAAAAGCAAAAAGAATATTCCCAAACTCCATCTATCCCTACCACAACTTTCTATTTAAAATGTTTGAGGACCCGTTCTTATAAAGTACAGTCAAGTGGGTGTATTAAGATGTTTTTTAAAAAATATTTTTTAATTTAAAATAATATTTTTTGTTTAGATTTGTTTTTAATATGAATTTATTAAGACCATAAAGAATTTAAAAACATTAATTTAATAATTTAGAATACAGGTTAAGGGAAAGCAGTCCAGACTGATGTCCCATATATAGAAACTTTGCAATTTTCTATAGGGCTAAAAGTAGCGAGGGACCTTGAGTTATTCTAAGAAAATTAGAACATATGGTTTGGTATGGCATGCCCAGCTAGCCTTATAGACTAATAAAATACACGAATTTCAGCCTTTCTAAAAAAGCATACCTTCCAAGTTGTTTTAATTGCAGCAAAACCACATATAGTACAGAAGCTTTTATGGGTGTTACATGCATGCCAGAATTTTCGATAATATTATTGTCTTTTCTTCTTGAAATCATTAATTATTACATCATTAATACATAATAAATTTTATATATATCTTGTTTAGAGTATAGTTGTGGTTACTTTTCAAATAATTTTTCATGCCAAGATATATTTTAATAATTTTTTTTATTTGTTAAAAAATATTTATAACATCAGCACATCAAAATAATTTAAAAACACTAAAAACATATTAATTTTAAATAAATAAATAAATTTTAAATTTTAAATTTTAAATTTTTTTAAAATATTTTTAAAATGCAAAAACAAATATATTAGTATTAAATTATAGAGTTATGTATTTTCTATCTATTTTCTAATCTTTTTTTACCATCAATATGACTTTGTTTAGATTTAAACTTTGTTTGGTTTTGGAATATAACCAGGTATCTTGAAAATATTTTTTTAATAGTTTTAATAAAGTATATATTTTTTTAATGTTATAATTAAAAATACTTTTAATACTAATAAAAAAACCGATCAGCATCTAATTTCATGAAAATCTGAGTTAAAATTATCTATCAGGCCTCAATTGGGAGGAGAATTAAGAAAATGCTTCACCAATATACAGCTTACTAAAATTAAAATTTCACAATCTACCTGGTAAATTATGAAATACTCTCATAATAAAATTAAGAATTTTAAATAGCATTATTTTTTGCCATTTAAACCTCAATATGGACCTCGTGGTTGAGAATATATGCTCTTTCTTAATTTTATAAGTTTATGTCTTGAGACACTAATTAATGTAAGAGAATGATCGATGTGGAGAATATATCATCAAAATCATCAAAAGAGGCAATTTAATCCTAATTAACTTATTAATTGGTCCGGAGATACCTCTTAATTATTAAATAAAATATTTTTTCCAATTAAATAAAAGCATCCAACAAACCATGGCCCCATCCATCCTATAATACATTAATCCGGTTTCTTTATATTGTTTTCTCTTGATAATATCTTACAATTCTCCAAAAGACAAAAAAATAAAAATAAAAATAAAGCTAGGAAAGGAGCAAAAAGCAAATGAGAATGTTGTGCGCTCTGATTCTGCCAGACCCCGAAATGCAAAAAGGCAACAGTACAAGAAACTAGCGTGCGATCCGTCTCCTGAACCCTGCCAGGACTTTAATTTTGTTTTCTGAAAACCAGAGAAGAAGAGATTGCATCAAACACGAAAAATAGAATTTTCACGTCAAGAATTTAATGCCGTTAACCCTCTGATGGTTCCTTTCAAGCAGCCCTTCCATTATGACCTTCTTCTTGTAGTAGTACTGATCTTTGCTCTCTTCTTTCTCTGGCAACCACAAGCTTCTTGTAACATTTTGGGGCCGGCTGGTACTGTGCTGTCTTCGAGGCAGAAAATATAACCAGGTTATGGTGAAAAATATTGCACACAGCTTACCCCATAAAACTGTCACCGCAAGACTAACAAGGAATAGATATATGCCTGACTTGTCCTTGGTTTTTGCCTTGAATTCAAGTAATTCATTTGGGTTTCTTGAGTTCTTTATCTTGGACAATTTTCTTGATTCTGATATCGAACTTGGACAAGATGTCACTTCATTAGCTTGATGAGTATCTATCAATACCTTATTGACCAAGTTGGTATTGTCATGATCACTTGTATCATCCAAAGATTTCTTGCTATCCATTGATGGTGGTGGTGGTGGTGAAGAAGAAGAAGAAGAAGGCGGCTTTGATCCAATATTCGAGTCTTGACATAAATTACCTTTTCTATCGTGAATTCTCTTGGCCTGAAAAACAATAAAACTAAACATATGAGCACCATTAAAAAAAAATCCTTGAAAAAAATATCTATAATTTTTCTTAAACAGACAATTCTAAAAATTTAAGCTTGAAAACACATGCTCATAAAGAAAAACCTTTGAAAAGCTATCAAAATATAAAATTTTGAACAATCATTACTTGTTGTAGAAATTTCAGCTTGAAACACAACATGAAAATAAAAACCTTGATGAACTAACCAGTATGGTGTCGAAGAAAACGGCCTTGATCACACGAGATAAGTTTTTCTTTGAAGAATGAAGAATCAATGAATTCTCCGATGAAGAAATTATTGCTGAACACGTATCATTATCATCTGAAAGCAAAGAAGAATTTGGGACCAAACGCATCATATGATCCCTTTTCTTCTTTTCCCTGGGAAGATGCTTCAAAGACTTGTCTGTTGAGTGATCAACAACACCAACTTCGGAGTGATTAAGTACTAGCTGATCCATATCAACAACTGGCTTAAAACATAGCAAGAACTTGTTTCTTGAAACGTTCTTCATAATTACTGTTGTTTGTAACATAAAGACTTGATGATCATAAAGAAAGGTGTTGATAATTACGAGTATTAGCTAGCTAGTATGTGGTTTTAAGGATCATTAATGTATTTGCAAACATATATTTCGGTGTGTTTTTGGTTTGAATGTTGTGGGAAAGAACAAGCAATGATACAAAAGAAGGGCTGTGGTTTGTTTTGTTAGTGGGGTTCTTACTCGGAAGCACAAGGTCGGCATGAATGCGCGCGGTCCATTTAGTACTGGTAGATAATTAAATAATTAGGAGTTTTTTTTTTTTTAGTTTTCATCCGAAGGTAATTGTGTGTATGTTATTCATGTTATTATTCACGGTTTTAATTTCAAGGAAAAAAATATGATTTTAAACCCCCCCCCCCAGGTAGAGGATCTTTGAATCAGCTTGCATATCAATTGAGATTAAGTTTTTTTCTCAAAATAGTTTAATCATCCATGCTTTTTATTGATTTGATACATTAAGAAAATAATTTTTTACAAATACTAATTTCAAGATTCGGATTTAAAAAAAAAATATGAAAGAGGTAAACTTACTTAACTATGATTAAAATTTAGGTTAAATGCAGTTTCTAATGCATCCATGAGACTGATCTCCTTTGAATTGGATGATGAAGTAAATTATAAATTAATTCTTCTAGTTTTTCTAAATGAATTAAATAGCCCCTTTAATTTTGAAAATTAATTAATCAATCTCTCCAGTATTGATCATATTTAATTTAATATTATTTTAATTATTTAAAAAAAAAATCTTCATTTCTCATCAATCTTTTTACATTATTTACCTTTTTCTTTTTCTTTTTCATTTCTTAAAATATAAAAGCAAAATAAAATAAAATAAAGATAAAGATAAATAAATAAAAAATGCTGATTAGTTGTCCAAGAATATATTAGGTGAAACTTCAATATATAATTTATATAATTTTTTAATATATATTTTCAAATGAAAGTTTTTTAAATTAGAAACTTGTACATTTTTATAATATTTTTTATTTAATTTTTATTAATTACAATAAAAATTACGAGATTTAAACTTATTATTACATGATTATTAATAAATCTTTAATATTATATCAAAAAATAGCTTAATTTAAAAACTGAAATAATTTAGTAAGATGTGAATGTATAATTGATATAATTTTTTAAAATTAATTAGCTCTTAAGATTTATAGGAAAAAAATAAAGAATTAAAGGTTCCGTGACTTGAAGGAAAAAAAAAAGGAAAAAAGAAAAGAAAAAGAGGATAATTTAGTAACGAGGGGGGCATACTTATAATTATTATAAGTGAGTTCTGTACGGATGTTTTATATAGGGATTTGATTTTTCTTTTCTGTGTGGCTTTGTAGTTAGATAAGGTAGTGATGATAGGCAGAGCTAGTGCTGCCCGTGATGGACAGGTGAGAAGATTTAACTCTCTTTTATTGTTTGTCGTTGGGAAGGGAAGGATGTGTTTTATGGCAATTGGAACTTCTAGGGTTTATGGTAAACGTCCTTTAGATTTGGACTTTGATTTTTCTCTAGGTTTTCTTTTCTTTTTGTTTTTTGTTTATATGCATAGTGATTGATGCGTGGAACTGGATTTTTTTAGAACAAATTTATGTTTTTTAAGTCGTGTCATCCTGTTCATTATTATGGATTCTCATTTACTCATCTAAAACACAATTTTTATTACTTTTATTATTATTTTTTAGTTGTAAATTAGAGATTACATAAAGATTCATGTTATAAGAAAGATAAATATTTGAATAAAAATAAAAGTAAAAAAATATTTGAAAAACAAAATAATGATTTGAAATAAGAATGAAAAATGTAGCTATTTAATCAAAACTCACTTTTATTATTAGTGTGTTTTTGTTTTTTTAACAAAACATGTCTTTTTTATCATAATAATTGTCTTTTAATTAAAAACTTATCTTAATCTTAAAAGAAGTTTTGATAGAAAAAATCATGGACTGTTAATTTTAGCGTGAATGTATAAAAAATATGAGAAAATTCAATTTCAGAAAAATTATTTAAAGAATTACAATAAACATAACAAAATAGATATTTTATTCATATTAAATATTCATGAGAAATTATTTGAAAATATATTAGATTCATATATAATTATTTAAAACATAATTGTTAATATTATTATAAAAAAATCTAATATTATTTAAAAACTATGGCATAATTGGATAGTTATTTAAATATCATTTTAATAAATTTAGTTAAGAGAATCATATTATATAAAAAAAAACAAATAAAAGGCTATTTAAAAGAAAGGTAATGCACTCCTAGAATGGAAGCATTTAAAAAGCTCAGTTTAAAATTGTGTATTTTTTTTAAATAAATAAATAAAATGATTCATTGTATGTTTTTATTATTATATTTTCAATTGGAACGAATGACACATCATATGTATGCAACATTTTTTAATCATCAAAGATTGTTTTTATAATTGAAAAACTCAAGATTCAAGTTCTTAAACCTTATAAAACCAAATTTTAACTTTTTTAAAACCAAAAACATGAAAAATATCACATGGCCTTAAAATCTTAAAATCCCAAATTTTCCAACAAACATATTTAATATAACTCAAAATCAAATCAACTAAAAACAATTATCAAGTTTTTATCTATCTTTTCAGGCATTATTAAAGGTATAAACCATTTCCATTATTATTTTTTTATTTTTTTAGTGATGAATTCAAAAAATCATTATTGGTGGTAGAAATTTGAACACCCAAAAGCTTCCTCTCTCTCTTTTTTTTTTAATGACTTCCTCTTTTTTTTTTTCACAACAACAATGGATTAAAATATAAAAAAATAAAATTTCAAAAATAGGGCAGAACCAAATAATGTAAAAGATGAAACTTGAGAGAGCAAATTATACTATTTTGTGTCATTGAAACAAATGAAGGAAAGGGCTTCCCTTTTTTATTTTAATTTGGTGATTGGTTTTTCGATTATTTTTTAACAATAACCTAAAATTCTATTTCATCAATCTTAAATTATATATTGAAATGTTCTATGAGTACTTTTACCATTTAAAAAACATCATTTTTTTTTCATTCCCATTTTTTTTTCATTGGGTTATTTTGCTTTCTTTTAAACAATTATAATGCAGTTTTGTAAAATTAATATTCAATAAACCATGAAATAATATTTTAAATCATAAAAACATGAGGTAACACAAGTTGAAAAAAAAATTAAAAAGTAATGAAAATGAAGTTTGTGATAGTTAACCATAATGTTTATTTTTTTCAATTGACATTTTTTATTCTCAAATCAATATTTTCACATTAAATTGGCTAAAAATTGGGTTTAGTGTTCTATTTTGTTTGGATTTTATGTGGGATTCTTATTATGTTAATAATAAATATGCGATATTGAGTTAATGCTTGATTTAATAAAATAAAATTGAATTTTATTGACTCAAATCAATTAAATTTTTAAAGACCAAATTTCAAATTGAAATAAATATTCAGCTTCTTTTTTTCCAATAAATAGAATCTTTATTTTTTTTGTAATCAATAAATTTACTATTATTTATTAGAATATATAATTTTTAATTTATTTTATCAAATATACATATAAAATTGTTAGTTTGCGGTTAAAATTTTTTATTGATGGTGAAAAGAAAATCATTAATAATGTCTGCATTTTTTTTAGTTGAGAAAAGAAGGGTCATCCCATAACATAGCGTAAGGAATCAAACTAATTGTATCATATAATGTATAACGTATCGTGAAACAAACGTCTTGGATTGAGTTTTATAAGGATTCTTTTATTTCTCATAAACTACGGCCTATGAGCTTCTCATGGGCCAACAAAATCTATAAGAAATCCATTGTGACTCCTCCAGCTTAGGATATGAGATTTTCTCTCGGCTAAGTTATTATGTACGTTCTCTCTAGGCCATATAAATCCTTCCATTTCAAAGCACATGCTCTTGTAATTGTGAGTTTTAAAGCTTGTGTGGAACACGGCTTGCTACATTTCCTTATTTTTTTTTTATTTAAAATTATCTTATATATTTTTAAATTATTTCAATGTATTAATATCCAAAATAATATTTTATAAAAAATATTATTTATACATATTTTTAAACAAAAACACTTTAAAAAACATGATATCGAATTTTATAGACAATGTAGCCAGGTAACAAATGAAATCCCATTTCACTTCAGATGGCAAGAAAAAGAAATTGAATACAAGTAAATTTAAGATATCAACCTCTGTTTTTGGTGATGGTTTTACTTTGCTACCTACCATTTGAAATATTTCTGTTTACATCCTTTTGTTGGCCAACCACCTTGACTCAAATATTTCTTCTCCCTCTCTTTATGAAGCCCTTGATTGTTTCATTGATTACCTGCTCTTTTAACAGCATTAAAAAAAAACTAAAAGAGATCAGTGAATCACTATAGATTGTATCTAAAATCATTGTGGATTGCACTGTTTATGTTTAAAATTAATTCTTGCAATAAATTTTGGCTAATTTTCTTTCACTGTTTTTTTGTTAGGTATGTGGCAACATCCTTACCATGTATCTCTATGTTTTTTTTTTTTAACAGGTTACATCTAAGATATCAGTGAATCACTGTAGATTGTATCTAAAATCACTGTGGATTGCACTGTTTATGTTTAAAATTAATTCTTGCAATAAATTTTGGCTAATTTTCTTTCACTGTTTTTTTTGTTAGGTACGTGGCAACATCTTTACCATGTATCTCTATGTTTTTTTTTTTTAACAGGTTACATCTTTCCATCACTGGTATAGGCTTGGGTGTGGCTTTGAGGCTAAGCTGTTTGGTGTCTCTATCTAGAAGGAACATCATCTTGATTTCACTCCAAGATCTCAGTTTGTATCAGGATTTCAATTCTCACCAGGAGAAGTGACTTCGATTGGCTTTTAATTAAGACTGATTTTCTTCCTTATCTTATAGAGCTTTGTCTGACAGGGAATTTTAGCTCCTTCCTTTTCTTGCTGCTTGGGCTCTCACGGACAAATATTATAATTACATGTGGAAAAATTAGGGTTCGTGGACAGAAGCTCCCAAAAGTAGAGACCGAAAAATGAAGGGTGAACGATGGCTTGGATTTCATGATGGCTTAGGCTAAAAGGAAAAGAGACTTTTGTTTGTAGAGACGTGGCCGCCACCAGAAAATCTGGCTTGCTTTTAGGAGTCCTTTCTTCTGGA